GGATGGAAAACCGCGACCGGCGGCTTACTGCGCAAGCGTAGCACTCAGCACTGCCTTGCGATTGGGCCACACGGTAAGAGGATTTGCGCATGCGCTTACTTGGGGCACGCTCTGCCGTTAACCCGGCTGCGGCTGGAGATAGCAACTTTGCGGGAATTGGCTGTGCCTCGGTTTGAGCAAGTTTGGAAAACTGTCCAAAGAGAGACTTGTGGAGCCGCTTGGTCTGGAGGCTGAGGCTGGGGTTGGTGCTGCCGCCTTGTCAGTGACAGGAACTGATAACAGCACTTCTCAAAGCGAGACCCCAGCACTGCACCTTTTTTTCCCATTCTAGGCCACTGGGTACTAGGTACATTCTTAATCCTTCCGATTCTTTTGCTGTGATCCGAGTAGGGGGCGCCTGACTTCCCAGGTCCGGAATGTCGTTCCGTCTTTTACAGGTTTCTGGCACTTCCTACCCAACCCGTTTCAGGCGTCATCCTTCGGCGCTCTTTTTCTCCGTTTCAATTGTATGTTGTGCGATTCTAGGTTTTAGAGGCTGTGCGGGGCACTGCGAATAGCCTCATGCTATTGTGGCCGCCGTGCTGGAGAGCACGATGCTGGCAGAAAGTTTGTGCTGCACACACTTCTGGGGAGAAAACCCAGAGCGGCACTTTCAGAGTTGTGGGACGAGTAAGGAGAGGAGCTGCGTGTAAATAGGTATTTTGACTCTGCCAAGTGTAACTTAAATTTGAAATAATTTTTTGGCTGTATGCTGACCACATGCCTTTTTCAAACATTTGAATTACATCGTCATTTGATAAGGTTTTGTTTTTTTTGTTTTGTTTTGTTTTTAGCAACTACCACTTGACCTGTACTATGAAAAGGGTTCTTGAGGATATGGAAAATATAGGAAAGGGTCACAGTCTAGTTGGGGAGATAACACATACTGGTCATTAAAATAATATCTGTCACAGTGCCAGAGCAAGGGACGAGTTGGGATGGAATCATTAAGGAAGAATTTCATGCAAAAATATTTGAGCTGCGTGTTGAAGGACAAGTAGTAGAACTCAAATGGTGGAGGGAAAGGAGTGATGTTGCAGATGGGGAATACATTGGAATCAAAGGGAAGATTTTCGGTGGTTAAGCATCTTGACTTTGGATCCAGACCAAGCTAGGTGGAATCCTAGCTGCCACTTGGGGAAGTCTTCACTTTCCTCATCTACCAGTCTTACAGGGGTGTTAGGAAGACTAAAACAAGGATCACCCAGTTTGAGCCCAGCTGGGGCAACTTGGCAACTTAGTAAAATGCTGTCTAAAAATTTAATTTAATTTTCTGGTTTTTTGGGACAGGGTTTCACTATGTAGTTTAGGCTAGCCTTGAAGTCACAATGTAGTCCATGCTGGCCTTAAACTCACAGAAGTTCTTCTGCCTCAGCCTCCCCAGTGCTGGGATTACAAGTGTGTGCCATCAAGCCAGGCTCTCAAAATTTTAAAGAAAAGGCTTGGAATGTAGTTCAATGTGAAGGCTCTGGGTTTTTGGCCCTGTAACAAACCAAACACAAACAAGAACAACAAAAACATTATTTGCATTATTTGTAAAGTGTCTTACAAGAAGCATCATGCTGTTTGTTAAAACTGGAAGTATAAAAGACCAAATCCAGAAAGTATTGCTAAGAACAGTTAAGTATGGGCGCACAGATCTGAATTGGCAAAAGTTTGGCTCTAACCTTGTAGGTGATGAAATTACTTTCTTCTTTTCTTGCTGGGGTGGGGAAAGAGAATGAAGTTATATTTTTAGGAAGTTGCACTTAGGAAACAATCTTTTTTGGGTGAAAAATGACAGATTTCCTTACCCATTAGGCAAAAAAGCCTTGTTCAGAAGTGCAGGTAATAGGGCGATTTTTTATGTAGAGTTGCTTCGGCAGACAAATATTGAAAATATAAATTCTAGAATAAAGTAAAATTATTTGTATTTACTTAGTATGTTAAAGGCCTTACTGACATTGCTATTTATTGATACTTCTAAAAACCAAGAACAGCCATGTGTGATGATGCACATCTGTAATCCCAGTAGTTGGGGAGGCTGAGGCAGGAGGATCGCTTGGAGTTTGAGGCCAGCCTGGGGTACATAATGAGACCCTGTCTCAAAAATAAATAAAAACCAGTAACATATCTGGACAAGTGAAATGGAAGAATCACTCAAGCCCAGGAGTTCAGAGCCAGCCTGGGAAACATAAGGACACACCTGCAACAATAGCAACAGCAACAAGATAATAAAAATTAGTATTAATTATGGACTGGTTAGATAAATATTTGATCATGTCTGTTAGTAGGTGGGGGGGTTGCTGTTTTGTTTTTTTTGAGACAGGGTCTCACTATGTAGTCCAGGGTGGCTTCAAACTCATGGTCATCCTCCTGCCTCAGCCTCCTGAGTGCTGGGATTACAGGCACGTGCCACCATGCCTGGCTTTCATATCTGTTAGTAGAAGAGGCTTTGGAAAACACTGTTAAAATCATGACATTCAAAGTACCTGTGAAACAACTATATATTTGAAAGAATTTAATGATGCAGAATTTAAGAATTTAAAAGGCATTGTAAAGCACATTTCAATTTTTGCATTAGGTGCACTGAGATAGTCTTCTTGTCATTTTAAATAAAATTTATTTTATCTTTTTTGACAAAGTCAATATACTGTATTTATCAAACTAATTCCACAAAATTTGAGTGGAATCCCGCCCCAGTTTCACCCCACAGAGATAATGCATACTTTTTATTAGGGCAAGGAGTCCATTTTGAAGTACCCCGTTTCCAGAAATCGGAAGGTAGACTCAGTGACAAGTTTTTGTCAGAAGCATACATCTAAATAATCTTATGTGGATATAATTTTATTTTTATTTCTCAGGGACTGAGCATTCTAGCTCCGAGTTGACAAAGCCTCTCCTATATGTACAGGAAGCACCCAATTAATAGTTAACTTCCCCTCTTCTTTTCTACAACTATTTTTCTGTATGTAAAGATCACCAGAGGCATTAGCTTCTGTACAAAAGAGAATGATCTAGCAAACTAGACATCAATCAAGAACCACAATACTGTACAATGGTGATTGGTATTCATAATGAAGACCTTGGATTAGGCAATTAAGATTCAATCCTTTTGTTGGTTTTAATGTTGAATAGTATAATCGAAGGTTTTAGAAATGGATGACCCACATACATGATTAAAAGGTTAGCTTTAAATATTATATCTGCTATCTCAGTTAATAGGCTTATTAACTAGAAGACCCCATATTGAGTAACTTAGACTTGGCCGAGAGGTTACACTCCAGTTTGCAGACAAATGTATCACTGATGCACGGAGTTGTTTTCTCTTAGTAAGATAGGATTTAGTCACATCTCTGCCTGAAGCTCAGCCTTGCATACAAATAAGATGTGTTACCTTACCTTATGAAATATGTGAGGGGAAGGGTAGGGTAAAGTTTTTTGGTTTTTTTTTTGGGGGGGTAGGGTAAAGTTTTAAAAAAGAACATAAAACAAGACTGGATAAAGAAAATGTAGTATTTAAACACAGTGAAGTACTACTCTGCTATAAGGAAGGATAAATTCAGTCATTTGTAGGAAAATGGATACACCTTCAGACCATAATGTTAAGTGAAATAAATCAGTAAGAAATATTACATGGTTTCTCTTATATAAGAAACCCAAAGTATGAATAAAGAGCAAAAAAAAAAAATAGGAATCAGAAATAGGGCTTTTGCAAATGGGAAGGGGATCAAGAGATGGAGGGAGGGGAGGGCAAGGGGATATGAAAAGAATTAAGTACTGGGCGTGGTGGCGCACGCCTGTAATCCCAGCACTTGGGAGGCTGAGGCAGGAGGATTGTTGCAAGTTCGAGACCAGCCTGGGCTACGAAGTGAGCTCAAGGCCAGCCAGAACTGCATAGCGAGACCCTGTCTCAAAAAGACAAAAAATAAAATTAAAAAATGAAAAGAATTAAGTGTGATGTGCATGTACCAACTCCCCACAATGAATGAAATTGTTATGTACTGTAAAGGTACTAATAAAAATTTTTTTGAAAACATAAGATGGGTGCCTTTTATTGTATATAAGTTGTACTGCAGTAAAATTGATTTCAAACACATTCTAAACCTACAAATCACTTTCAGGAGGAATATGGGCCTTGACCAAGATATGTGATTATTAGTAAGCTTTGGGAAGTTGTCCTCTAATGCCGTAAGAAAGTTGTGTTCATTTATCATCTTCCAAGCATAATGTAGGCTTTTGGCAAATTAGACCGAACCACTTTGTTCTACATTCAGTTGCAGGGGTGTGAACCCTCCTCGGGATTCTTAACTCCCCTTAAAACTCCGCCATTCTGGAAGGATTTATGGTTATGAGGAGGGCTCAAGGATGCAAGGCACTGTAGGGCTTATGCCATTTCTTAAGATCCCTTACCTAGGTCTGTAATGTTTAGACCCAGAAACAAAGTCCTCTTTTGCTGGAGCTACTACCACTAGGTTTCCCCCTTCTCCTATCTTCTCTATGGGCTTCTCCCGCGGCGGGCCTTCCCTATTGGCCAGCCAAACACAACCGACTGTGGCAGCCAATGGGAACCACTCTCCTGAACATTCAGAGGATGGGTGCTCGTGGTGTGATAAGGGGAGGTTGGCGCCTGGTACGCGCCCCCCTACATCTGGCAAATCTGTGACAGAAACTGTAACACCCCCTACACAGGCGAATCCGCACCCCCATCTCCCTCCTTTCAGCCGCCCGGGCCCCCCCACAACTCATCTTTGAGTGTCTTGGCAGCGCCCCCTGGCTCCTTGGGCCCCACCAGGGCACCTGCTTACTAAATACAGAGCATCCCTTTATCTCTAGGCTTAGGCGAGGGCAGGGAACCCAGGAAGCGCGGCACAGCTGCCCGTCTCTCCGGAGGTGAAAGAGGTATCTCTGACCCCCACTCCTCCCTCTCCAGAAGTTGTGTTGCACCGAGGCCAAAGTGCTCCAGTGATGCTTGGGGAGCCGCTCTCTTTGTCCTCCCCAGCGATGTTTCCTGCCCGCTGACCCTGTGCGCTCCGAGCAAGTAGGGGTGGGGAGTCTGGAACCTATAGCATAAATGGGTGCAAGAGAAAGGAAGTCTATTGCGGGGTGGTGTATGCGTGCCTCTTTCCCCACCCCCACCCTTTCCTCCTTGGGCTTCCTCTCTCCAGTGTGTCCCTGGGGTCCAGACGGGAAGATCTCCACGCAAAGGCACAGTCCCCAGGCATCCCGTCCGAGGGCATGCACAGGCAGGAGAAGGCTCTCGGCTTGACTGCTCTCCTCTCCCTGGCTTTTGTGTTGCTGCCTCTGAGCTGCAAGGAGGGTGCGCTGGAGGAGGAGGGGGGCCTTGGATGAGAAGCATCACTTTCACGCGCGCGCGCGCACACACACGTTGCCGGCGCACGCACACTCGGGCGGACACACTCACAGATACACACGCACACGCACAAAGCTCGCTCGTCTCTAGCGCACTAACGTGGCCGTTTCCTTTGTGTGGAGCCCTCAAGGGGGATTGGGGCTCCGGTCCGGTCCCAGGGAGATGGCGCAGCCCATCCTGGGCCATGGGAGCCTGCAGCCTGCCTCGGCCGCTGGCCTGGCATCTCTGGAGCTCGACTCTTCGCTGGACCAGTACGTGCAGATTCGCATCTTCAAAATCATTGTGATTGGGGACTCCAACGTGGGCAAGACCTGCCTGACCTTCCGCTTCTGCGGGGGGACCTTCCCCGACAAGACTGAAGCCACCATCGGTGTGGACTTCAGGGAGAAGACAGTGGAAATCGAGGGCGAGAAGATCAAGGTGAGGCAGTCAGGTCTGGGAAGGGAGGGACCTGGGAGGAGGCTTTCCCTGAGCTATAGCTCTAGGAAATGACCAATGCTTTTTGTGTGACTGCTTGCTGAGCCCAAGACCCTTAACACCTACTTGTCCCTTTTTGCCTGTCTCTGTGGTGCTGTCCCCAGCTCACCTGAGTTTTTAGGGCAAGCAGGACTGGTTGCCTTGTTACCCTTTGCCTGTGCCTGACAGCTCCTGCCAGGAAAAGCATGTTTGACCTCATCCCTCACCCTGAGTGGGAGCAGCGGCACCTGTGGGCAGAGGGAGGCGGGAGACATCCCTGGTCCTAGGCTGTGGGATGGATCTCAAAGCACTTTACACACCTTAAGGTCTCTTCTATCTCTTGGGTGCCAATAGGTTGCAAAAAAACACTTTGGCTAAGCCCCGTGTCATTAGAGAAAAGGATGACAATCCATAGAGAATGAAAGCTGCTGTATTTTAAATTGCAGTTTAAAGTGGGGTGGTTATGGCACTACGCCATGAGCCATTTTAAAGACTGAGATATGGTTACTGGCTCTCACCTTCATAATAGGTGAAACTTGCTCTTCAGTCTTCTCAAATGTATCTTTTTTTTACTTGTCTGGGGCACGTACCAAATATACAGCCCATTATTCATCCTCTTGCCATTGTCTTCAGAAGGCCTTTGTAAAAATGCAAAGCAACTTATTTGAAGGCCAAGGAAAGTGCCTTGACCTCCCCCCATGAGTTTATCAAACAGGCTAAGTACAAACATTCCTGTCTACTTGTGCTCACCTTTAGTTCAGAAAAGATAGCAGTTCAATAAGACAGTAATATGTCGATGTGCAGTGTTGGTGGAAAGAGGACATGGCAAGGGCAACTTTGTGTGTCATGGAAGAGAGGCAGTCAGCATGATGGGAGGAAGCACCTAAAAAGGCACTCAGGACATGGAAGGCCAACTCCTCTATTTTTTTTTTTTTTT